ATAGATAGATAGATAGATAGATAGATAGATAGATAGACAGACAGACAGCGCTTTATATATAGTAAAGATTATCCTTCTCGTCCCTAAGTTTTGCACACCAGTGTATTAACTGCTATACACGTGCACGTGCATGCACGGATACACCTGCGAGGAGACATCAAGAACATGTCGGCTTTGCGTAAGAGAAGCAGGGAATGCATCTACTGAATCCATCTGTTGGAGTACCGTTGCTTTTGCTCCATGACTTAAGTCCCTATCCGTTACCTGTGCTCGCGCCGCGTAATGTGGCCACCAATCGGCTAGAGATCCCTTAGTGGGAGAGGATCCTCATCAGGAGAGGATTTCAACTTCCCATGGAACTTTGAGTAGAGACCTAGGTATATCTATAGGGCATGTAAATTTACTAAGAAATACAAAAATTAAAACTGCAAAATGAGCCTACCAAAGTTTGCAAGCATGGAGGGATAGTGGCAGTTGACAAGCCCAGCTGCCCGTGAGATGGCTACAAGGGTTCCCGTGGTGTAGTGGCAGTGCTCTCCCTCATCACCCCGTTGTCATTTTCGCTTTTGCAAACGTGCATCAACCGGTAGAAGCTCCTAAATCGTTTTTTCTTAATAATTCGAGTTAACGCTTTGATTCGGCCATCATTTGCGATGACATGTCTCGCACCTATCATTAGGCTTATTTAAAATTTGTTAAGGGGGGGACCCAAATCACTTGAGACAGATATGCGTGAAAATCCGAATATTGATGAAACAATCCAAGAAATGAGTGTAGCAGATGTGTGTTCACAAAATGCGAACCTCATTTGTACATGCAGTCCGTCTAGAACAATCACCATCTACACGTTTTCTCTACCCATTTTTTGGGTTGTATCATCGATGTTGACATTTCTCGCGCGTCCAAAACTATTTCACTTTGGGTACGGGTATGTTTGTTTCGATGTTGAAAATTAAAGAGCGTTGCAAAAATGACGTGGAGAAGTTTTAAATAAGGGCGATGATTGATGGTAGATACGGGTGAACGCAGATAACAGCCGAAATAAAGCGCTAACTTAAATTAGTAAGAAAAACGGTTTATGAGGTTTCATTCGGATAAAAGCACGTTTTGCAAAATCAAAAACGACAACGGGAAGCAAACCCTCATGGCTCACCTGTAGAAGGATAGCACTGCCGCTACGCTACGGGTACTCTTGCGCGGGAACTGGGTTATAAACTGACGCTATAACTCCATGCTTTAAGCAGGCAAACTCTGAATGCTCACAACTTTTTGGTAGAATCATTTTGCAGTTTTACCTTCCATATTTCTTATTAACTTTCCAAGCCCTATCGATATACCTGGCTCTATACAAAGTTCCATGGGAACTTAAGACCCTTTCCTAGTCAGTGAAAGAAAGCTCATCCGGATTAATGTTAACGATATACGTATATTTACATAAACTTCCGTTTTGCAACATTTTCAATTCACATTCTCTGCAACCCTGCATTTGTCTGATTTGTCTTCGTGAAATTTCTGGTTATTTCCGAAAATTGAAAGATCGCTCTCAGACAACGTCTGAGTCGGTTAAAGGACCCAATATGAATCGCTGCGCGCTCTGGGCACAACACCAAACAGTAATTTTTAGGCAAGCTTTGTGATGGAAGGATAGAAGGAAATGTCGAAATAAGTGCCTTGTATCGGAGGGCGTCACAATTCAGTTATTTATGAGTTATTTACTATTTTTTTTTCAAGGCAAGAAAGTTATGAGCTTCCACCTATTTTAATCGATGGACGGTACAGGATAAATGGAAAGGAGGAACTGCAAGACGTTTTAGAAAAGCTTCATGTGGCATTTGTTCACTGCGCTGCGAATAACCTGCAAGTTTCTTCGCACATGCGTATTTTCTTCAATAATCTGCACTTTGAACGTTTCATGCTCACTAATCGCTTTATACAGACGGATACTCTTCAAGAGCCGATTTTACTGCCCCGGCTTTACTTGTGCTGCAGACAAAGTGTACTCACGGTGCTGGTTCTGTAAAAGGGATGGAAGGAGGAAACATCGCTTCTTTATAAAGTGTTTGTTTTTTCGCTTTTACGAGTTTCCTGTTTCTTTATAACGTTATGATCATCTCGAACTAAAGAGATCAACGATTTTTCATATGTGTTCTAACAACTGAAATCCAAGTTTTTTGAACATTGAAACCTTTGACGAGTAGTCATTATTCTACAGCAGCATTGTTCCACGACAAAAGCGTCAGTGATTTTGGTGCGCTAAAATCACGTGGTTGCGAGGAGGTGAGGAGTTCTTGAGGAGACCATTGGAAGAAGACCAAAAGGATGCGAATGTTAGAGTGAAGGACGTGTGTATTAGAGTAAGATTATGTTCGTTTACATAGCAACTGGAGGTCGTAGGAACCGAAGAATAAGTTGAGGAAGCCAACAACGCAGGAAGTGGTATACTGTAATAGAAAAGTCTAAAGCCTGAGCAGGGTGGACATTTAAGCAATGAAGCAGAACCGAAGTTGAAGATACCCCAGGGAAAGCCATTGCGGCCTCTCCCGATATGGAAACATACTGGGGTCATTTCTCGCAACCATGTCTCGGGAAAGTCGTGGAGGACCTAGTTAGAGCTTTCTTTGCACTTTACTCGTATTGAGAAAGGTACAGAGGAACAGACAGAAGAAGACTTACTCGCTGAATCGGAAACGGATAAATCGGATGAGTCACTCGGGTCAATCTTGCAGGGCCGAAAATCCATGGAACTTGAAAACCTGCAGCATGCATTGAAGCACATTGCCAGTCAAAGGAAGTGGTATTGGGAGGATGTCGAAGATCTAGAAGCTGAGACAAGCTCTGTACCAGAATTATGCAGAGTTGCAGAAAGTTGCGAATACTCGCAGTATGAAGAGATCAGGAACCACCGGAATACAGTTGTGACAGTGAGTCCTTTCGATGAATTACTGCTCCGAGAAGAAAAGGGAGCGTTTGTTAGAGAAAGGGACCGACTTCTAGAAGGCCCCACTCACGATGAAAATGGTTTTGGGGATTCTCTTCTTCAGTATAAAATTATGGTCACCATAATAGTGTATGGCACGCTGCTGGGCCGAAAAGCGGTCCAGACAGGGCGCAATTAGGGCTTCAAAATGACCGACGCCGACGTGCGCGCTCGAATTGACCGTGTTATGTCGGCTTTGTTGAGACTGCACTGCTCACAATGAGGCGTGAGGAGGCGAAGAATAGTACGCCTATGTGGGTGAGATCCGCTAATTTCCGCGCCTTCTTTTCCTCCCTTGCACTATTCTGCACCATTGCTTCCATTATTTCAGCTAAACAAGATAGAGTACTGGTCAAAAAGAAATCATCTTGAACCTTTTTTGTCATAACTAATCTCGGACTCAATTTTTGGCTGATTCTTTGGTTAGCACCTTTTTCAACTATCACCTACTTTGCTGCGTTGCAAAACAAGCGGGAGCTTACTTCCCGTCAACTGCGCGGCTTTTTTTAGAAGACAGTGCAAAATCGGCCTAATTTTGGTTGGGTTTCTCTGAGATTTTTCGATTAAGAATTGCTCGAGAGTTTGTTTCAGAAGTAGATCTCTTTCTGTAATGAGACGGACATTCGGATCTAGCCCTCTGACCAAAGGACAGCTTTCTGATATTGCCTGAGGCAGTATGCAAAGAATGACGCATGCTCAACTTTGAGAGCAATTTGGAGTGTCGAGGTCTACAATCACAAAGGCTGTTGGGAGAATTGAATCTTTTCGGATACCTTGTGAAACGAGCCAGCACGGAAAGACCACGGATCACCATTCCTGCAGACGGAAGGAGATCATTCTGGCGTCGCGCCAACTTCTTCCGATAGGGCGACCGAAATATCGACGACGGTGATGCCGCTATCATCTCATGTGCCATCAACTCCACGTCCTCTAGCTAAAGAGTGCCAAGTCTACAGCTACCTTACGCTTCTGCCTGAACAACAATCCGGACTACCGGTTTTAAAAGTGTTCCTATGATTCGGCAAAAGTCAGTGATCAGTCTCATAAGATGCGTCTTTCTCATCGTCCTGGGCGAGATTCGAGGTGTTTCTACGAAACCTGAATGCACAATGAAGTAGAAAGCGAACCCTCAAAAGCTAATGGTAAAGGACGAAGTCTTTGGGCATTATTCAACACATATGAAGGGTGCGCCCTGCATTCGACTTCCACTGAGAATCGTAGTGACTAGTGAATGCGTATGTGGCCTATACAATGAATTGCGGGGTAGCCATTGAACAAGTCAGTGCTCTTAACCCCTTGATGAATCTGGTTCCAATTAATCGCAAATTTTGCACTATTCTGGGCTATCACATCCATTACTCGTCTCAACTATAGCCCCAAATATCGTGAACTGTCGTTTTAGCCGACCCAGAATGGATGAAAGTCTTGCTTGGTCTAACGGTTATCGATACGGGATTCGAACTTGTGACCATGGTGTGGGATAGTGCGCCACTTGCCACTACACCGCGGGATGAAATGAGGCGTTATACTTCACCCTAGCCTGGCTCCTAGTCAGATGTTGCATGACATATATTTCGCATTTCTTGCAATCAGTTCCGTACAATCCACAAATCTCCCTTTTCACGACAGTTATATTGAATTCCCCGTTGTTGGGAAATGCCTCACAGACTTTCCATCCAGATTCCCATCACATTAATCACAAGTGGTTGTAGCAGTTAATTTGACATATCGTGCATTCATCATTTCTACTCATTCATCTCCCTTTCCTTTTCTTCCTTCTCATTGTTCAGAAAAATACTTGCAGGTTATGAGTACGACGTCATAGTACAAGGAGACCTCAATGATCCATCGCGAAAGTTTCTTATCAAGCCGCGTGGAATATCACCTGAAGAGGCAGAAAAATTTATTACTTCCGTGTTGAGATCGTGCGATAGTATTATAACATTAAACGATGCTGCAAATATGTTTGATAACTCTACCGAGGTAAACATCATAGGAATTGAAAAATCCTACAGCAACGATGTGGTGTGATATAAACCTTGAACGTTTCTTAGCAGGTGTTGTCTTTGAGGAAAAAGAAAAGGTCCAATGGTAGGAAGAATCGTGAGATCCCACGAAGTAGGCTTGGAGGTGAGACGTTTTTTGGTCCGCAACCTTGGACACAGAAAGTGTCTGAATAGTGGTAATTGTAAGAATCGATCAAATGTTGGGTCCGCGGTTCTACGATTTCACATTTCTCTTCGGTCCGAACCCACACATCTTTATTCTTTTTGATATTTTCTCTTGATTACTCCCGTTTTCCTTGCAGTGTATCACACGCCTAACGATTTTTGATCGCGTATATCTGCTCATTGCTTCATGGAGCCAGCCTCTTTCTTTTCTTCCGTTCTCAAAGAACCAAATTCGATTGTGTTCAAAAATGTTTGACTGACTTGCTTCGTTTCTGTCTTGCGATATAATTTATGAGTTCTACTCTATTCTCATAGGATATTTCAGTAGCTTGCTAGAGGAGACTTTTCGTTGCAGGATCGAATCCTGCCATTCCTAAGGCAACAGCAAGGAAGCGAAAGAAAACTACCACGTCCACTTTTGCCAATTCCCGTGCAAGGGAAACCTCTAGGCTCATCCCACCATCAGGTTGGTTGTTTATCCGGGACTGCAAATTATGACTCCGGTTAGAAATTTTTCGCATTCTTCATTCGTTCCTTGAAGAAATCTCATTGGGTCCTTCGCCAAGCCATAACTGGAGTGAAACTGACAGTTCTTCATGTGACTATGGCCAAAACGTAATAAGTTCTTCTGGACGCTGTGTGGCAGATGAACGCTCAGACATTGATTGGCAGGACCAGTAAGTAATGCAAAAATGTTTTTGTAGCGTGCATAACTTCTCTTTGCACTTTTGGCCTGCCCCTTATCGAACGAGCCTCATGCCACTATGTGCCATCTTGGTCAAAGAGGTACCCGTTAACTTATGCCACGATTGCCTGTTGTTACACTCCACGTGCGGCTCTCGATAAACCTCGGCATTATTGTCGGAATAGCTTTATTGTCATGACTCCACACGTGGTTCACTGTACCTAAATGACTTACGTTTCGGTGAAACCGCCTTCGGAGGCTGAAGGGGTAGAATCAAACTTATGAAGCTATCCGATCAAACCTCCCAACACCCTACAATAATTTCGAGACCAAATTTATCATCTTACAATGCTAGGTGGATAAAATTACCATACCACCTTGATGAACAGAATCGGCTCTCGTGAGCGACATAGAATCGGCTGTCTCGGGTTCAAAAGTGACGGTCAAAGGCTAGCCTTATAAAGGGCTAGCCTTCGACCCCCTATGTTCCCCCCCCCCTCCCCTCCCCCCGGGCGAGTTCATGCGTAATGATACGTGTTCCCTCCCCCCTCGGTTCATTTTTGGATCCTTGACCTGGCTCTAGAATGCTTATAGGGTCTTCCTCTCACTCTTTGTATTTCGTGCGGCAAAAACTCGACCGTGATCCCAAAATCGCCCCCATTTTGAGGTCGTATACTGTGAAAGCCTAAAAGAGTTGACAGCTGCTACCTAGTCTTACCGTTTGAATGTTCTTCAATTCGTACATAAATGGCCTAGCTGTCTCATCTATAAACTCATATCTACAGTTTTGGCAAGTGAACTTGTTGACCACGCCAGCAGCACTACAGTTCCCTTCCCTGCTAATAGGACAGTCCAGTAAGGTGTTGCAGAGTGTGATCGTAGAGACGATAAGGGCCAAACGACGCTTTAAGTAGTCGGGAGGGATTTCGACGATACCAAAGATGTTTTCAAGACCCGATCTACTCAGACACTTCCTTGTAGAGAAGCTTACTTCATCGGAGATGAAGGGCATAGCAAATGGGATTTTCGTAATTGAGAAATCACCAAAAAGCCTATTTGACTTTTAACATGCTCGCGCTTTTGGAAATGGAGGAAGTTTGTATCCGTTAAGCTCAGCAAAACTGTGTGCTGAGTTCACGGACTGATTTCGCTCATTCTTCCCAGAGAGAAATTATGCAGCGGTTCGAAACATACTCCTAACCAGTGTTCATTTTTGTTTGGGCGTTTTTCAGTGATAATGTGAGTTGGAGTTATATTAGTAATGTTATTTCGACTCGTGGGGAGTTATATCAGTAATGTTATTTCGACATATTGCCATTTTCCTTTTACGGGCGACAAAGTCGAATCAGCTCGATCAAAATTCGAGGGTTAAGTTGTTTGAAAGGTGGGAATAGACGAACACGATAATGCTCAGAGGCATTTATTCTCTCGTTATTGCTGAAATGTTGTCCTCTTATTCTACAGTAGTGTCGACAGATAGGATAGTAGTAAAATATCTAGTGGTTAGATGGTATTTTGGCCTTTCACCTTAATTTCTTTGGTCAGGAAGAAACTCATTCTCGTTGTTTGTAGAGGTGCTGAGGTCGAGCTAGACCACGCTTCTACATCTCTACAAGAAACCTTCAGCTCGTGCCGTAGTGAAGCGAATGGCACCGCGAGCGGTCAAATATGTGAAGAGGTTTGGTAAACTGGGATCTTTGAAACTATATTTTATGCGAAAAATTGTCCGGTTGCAGTGGTGGCAAGACAGTCATTGGTTCGGTGATCCATATTCAAGCGACAGTGCAGATTTCTCTGAGAGTCAAACAATTCAAGGTACTTAAAGTTTTTCCCTAAAACTACTGATATCTACGAAATAACTTCTCTAGCTGAGTCGAATGCTTACACAGAAGACTTCAGTGAGCTTCAACCTACTGAAGCGCAATATCTACCTTTTTTGATGTACTATGATGCTGATTGTGCATCTGGTAAGTTGCGAGAAATTCTGTGCTGGGTTCACCTATTGTTCAGTTTTCAGATATGTGTGGACAAATACCAAAGGCAGTTGGAGATCACGTTCCGAATGATGGCTGTTCCACATTTAACGATCCTTTGGAAGATCTTCGCAATCTGTCGATGGAGGCTTTTGCTGAGATGTTTAATAATAGTCATAGCACCACATCTGCTGAACGATGGTACGACTCGAGTAGATCACTTGACCCTTTTTGATGGATTCCCATGAAGGAGCATTCTGAAGGTCAACAGAACAAGGCCGCAACATTCTCTTTCTTTAGAAACAGTTTGCCATTTTGTGGACTCTCAAAATTAGTTCTAGAGTTCAGCTGCTGCTACTGGTCCAACACTTTCTACAGTTTCATGCTTCAATCTCATGTGATTATTATTTGTTGAATTCATGCATGTCTGTATATTACGCAATACTGTAAAGAAATTTTCAATTTTTCCCATGTAAATAATTTGTTGTTTTTGTCATAGTAGTTGTTTCATTTGTTAGTTACTGTTATGTTGTTATTTTGGAACATACCGGTAAAGAGAATTTGAACCAACGATTTCTACTGCAACACCACACAAAGGGTTAAGCTCCTGCTTTTCCGTCCATCTATTTTAGAACTACTGCTGAGAAGCTGTGAAGAAACTAACTCGTTTCATCCTTCCATGCCGTCCTCAAAAACATGCTTCATTGGAAGTGGGAATATAAAGTTGATAAAGTTCTTGGCGTTGACCAATCCCGTGTGAGGGATGCGCCCCGGCACTCGACTTCAGAATCGTAGTGGCGTAATGAGTGCGTATACCTATACAGGGTGTCCCAAAATTATTTGCGCCGATTGATAGCAATATATTTCAAACTTCTCAGCTGCGAAAGACGATGGAATCCCTATGCACGTTAGCTAACACTATGTGCTACAATATGCTACAGTCGCCTTTAAAAATATCCCCTATGAGCGCGGATAGAAGTCAAAGTTTGCTCGCGACTTGATCGCCTGTGGCACGCAGGTATCCTCCTCCATTTCTTCATGGCCATTCTTCAGCCTTTGCATTCTAGGACTCCAAGCTGGGACTGCAAACTCGACAGGTCCTCTTCTAACCAGGGACCAGTCGTAGGGTCAAGTGAGTCAAGTTCTGGAAAAAAAAATGACCATCCCTCTTCACCAGTGAAGCCGGGAAGCTGTCGTCGGCACCACTCGCGGGCAAGCTTGGCTCTGTGGGTTGGGGAAGCGTCCTGCTGGAAGGACTACGAAATGTTTCAGAAAACGTAGTCGGATCAATGTTTCATTTACTTCCATCAGTACGCCGTTTAAGTATTGGTCTTGGTCATTTTTCATGCCTGCACCGAAGAAACCATGAGCGGCTTACCCTTGCCAGTGATTTCCTCGGAAAACATCATTTTACTGTTCTGATAGCAACCTTTTTGTGAGATATTACACGCTAGGCGTTTCTTTCCAGAACGCGAATGTTTTGGTTTTTGAGGAATGGCTTTGTCGTAAAAAATTTCTTGACCAGAGAAAAAGACGAAGGGTTGCGTGTCACCACTTTCGACTTTCTGCATTTTTGGCCCGGCAGTGTCTGTTGAGATCGGAATTGAAGCGAGATTTCTGCATACGATAGGAACGGTAGTGAAGCTTCTGCATGACATTCTTCCATCGCGATAACTCCTGTAAGCCGTGCCCGTTGACTTCCTTTTGATGGGTCACCAAGAATCCCGAACGATTGACAGACGGACCATTTTAATAGTCCTATCTTCAGAAACATTCCACCTTTCTACTTTTCCTGGTCTGTCTCTGATTCAAGCTTTTTTTCTGTATCGCTCAATAGCCTCCTATACGGTTATTACAAAAATCTCAAGGAATTTAATAATGCCCTTCCACCTCTCGCGTGNTGAGCCTCCTCCATCTGAAAGATACTGGGAGTTGCACATCAATGGCCATGCATATTGCAAGGAAACCTTCTTGTGCAACTAATTAATAACAGGTTATGTGAATTTGATATATTATTTCTACCTTACAAACTTCTGAATTTTGGCGCAAGTAATTTTGGGACACCCTGTACAATGGCTTGCGGTGGCCAGCCGAGGTACAAGTCAGTGCTTTTATCGACAGTAGGTTAGCCCGCCTACTTCGCGCGCGGTGTAGCCCACTAAGATCTTGAGGTGACGTTACCGTACCACCACTTGTCAGTGGAGCGAATGATTTGCGTTTGTTAATTCTCTTTGAGCTGACTACCTTGGACCAAGCGCAAGTCCTATGCTCCACTGACAACTGCGATGTTTGTCAAGGATCGCGGGCTGACACGTCGCGTGCAACAGCTGCGGCGTGACCTAGTTTTGACGGACGCGCGCGATAGCGCACCACTTCCCACTACACCACCTCCGCCCGAACCTTAATGTAAGCCTAGAAAACATCCTTCAATCATCGTTGATCTAACAAGTCACTATTCGATGACTTTCTTTATCAGCTTCCTGGTGTTAACCTCCTCACCTAGATGAACGTAACTAGAGCATGCGGAGATGTTCGCTTCGTTCAGCGTAAAGAAAGCATGAGGTACCCAACCGTTCTCATGAATCGTCTACGTTAGGTTCAGTTGTGAGCCGATCTTTCCTAAAGCGTTGTCGGATTTGGCCAGCATTCGTTAAGCTTCGTCGGTGTCAAGTGCTAGGCAATGTCTTCTGTAAAGCGGAGGTAAGTTAGTAGTGGCCGTCAACCTTCAACCTCAAGTCTTTCAATTATAATTGTTTCCTATCATAAATGATTCAAGATGTTCTCGAGGGCGGCATTGAAACGTTTGTGCGAAATGGTATCACCCTACCGGACCCCTCTCCACGTTGAAACAAATTCACTATAAAATAGCGAGATCCTGTTGTGAAGTGGTCGTGGAGCTCACGAAGCATTGTTATGTGTTGAGTAGGAACACCCTGGTTGCCCAGGGCTTCACTCACTACCTCAGCCTCGACAGTGCTGTTAACATGCCTTCATCTAATATTCTGCCAACCGTTGAGGATAACTTGTTTGAAATGTCTGTAGATCATAGATAGCAGGCAGTTTGGGCACTAGATTCCAACATCTTGTGGATCTCCTTGTACAACGACACAGTCTTCCTAGTTTTCCACGACGTCAACACTCTGCATTCCGACAAGCATAGTCAGATTTCAAATTGTAGCACGTGAAAGAATATCTAGTTAGTCTGATGCGATCCTATAGTGAATAGGCGCCGTGATGACTGCCGAATTTCAATTTTTTTTTCGAAGAGAGAATTGAAGGAACAACAGACACAGATGGTTCTCTTTTAGATAGGTTGACAGTAGACTTGGAAGAGATCCGAGTAGAAACCGTAGATGGGTAGAACACTTGGGGTGCGGTGATTGTTTGGTCAGAACCACAACGAGGAGTCATCGTGATCTTGTAGTTGGGCAAGCTCCGGCTTTGCAGGTGCCCTTACCGACGTTGACGGCTTCGGCTGGAACTGTTGTTATTCTTCTTCCCGGATCTTCCTTTATCGCTTCTCTGAATTGCTTCGCAAGTTCTTACGTTTGTCGATGAATGCTTGTAGCTCGTCTGTTGATGAATGCCTCTCTGCTTTCCTGCCTCTGTCATGGAGATGTTTCCGTCGAGGGGATCTTCCTAGAAAGTCACGAGGAAAGCGAAGTGGTCCCAACCGATGATGGTCTTAAGAATTCCTTTCCTGAACTTCGCAGCTCTTCCTCCGACACTAGTTAGACAATTTTCGATTTAAGACGATGTGTTATAGAACTGTTTTAACAGGTGACTCCCATGTCCATCGCAAGTGAGAGGTTCTGCGAATCACCATGGATGTTCGCAGAACATGGACTTGACCCTGCTCATTCCATTCCCTTCCGTGAGTCCTGCTATGTACCTCTTCAGCCGTTCCTCTGCGGCCAATTTTGGCATTGAAATCACAGACAAAGCCTTCGAAAGCAAGGTGGAGTCCGCTTGTATAACTTTTTCAAGCCTACATAACATGCTACCCGTTCCTCTTCGACAGCTCGACGTTGGTGGATAGATAGCCAAGATAGTTAAAGCTACAGTTGAGCACTTCTTCTCAATTCGACATTCTCAATCCGATTCGAGATGCAAAACTTCCCCACGGATCAATGTTTGTTGATCCGTGGGGAAGTTTTGCATTCCACTTATATTCCATTCCATTTATTTCATTGGGTTTGCAGCCGAGATTTTTGCAGCCGCTCCCCAGTGGTTATACACTCCGACACTGCCGTATTAGGGGCTCCCTCAGGTTTAGAGGAATAAGGTGCATCTCTATTACTGCTTTTTGCATACGCGTCCTCTTAGGTAGACTCTAACGCGGGACTGCGCGAAGTTGTGGTAACTAGACAGGCTATCCCAACGTGACCAATCAGCAAATAGTAAAAATAGGTTAACAAATCGGACAAGGGAAATTCATCCGTGAGGAACGGACCGCTCTCAAACTTTTTGCGAGAACTAGGGTGGCGCAACTTCTCCCCGATTTTATTTCACATTGCGGCATGCCGCAAATCTTAGTTGTCTCGCGGCTTCAAACTGCAATTACCGTACTCAGCCCGACTCCCTGCCAAACCACGGGACACCATATTTTTTATTGACTGACTTTCTTTTTGACTGGTTTTGATATTTTCTTTCTGTTTCTTTTTTGTTTTTATGCCTATTAGGCTTGATTGCTGAGAATGACACCTCCACTATTCGATGATAGAGTACGCAGACCGCAGTGCGAACTAAGAAAGTGGCCAACAGCTGTATGTAATCGAATTACTCCCTAACTCACAGACTGCGCACAGAGATTAGAGCTCAGATCAGAAATTTATCCCTGACCATCGATTCCTATTTCAAGTTGAGTACAACTGCTTATAAAACTGCTGATGTCCGTTCCTTCAAGGGGTGCTACTGGGAGCTGCTCACTCTGTGGGCTGAGCTCATCGCGGACGACTGAATGCAGTCGACAGGCCCCCGTGACAGGCCGGGCTGCGAACACCAACGTCACATCAAAAATGTTACGACAGCATGGTGCTTCCGAAGAGCTTATTGTGTGGGTACGCACGCTTCTTTATGCCGATGACGTGATGCTCGCTAGTACGGACAAAAACTTGCACGAGCAACAGGTGCAATCGACCTTGGGGGGCGCGCGATTCACGGGTGACCCCATTAGAGCTCTTCGCGCACGCAGCATCGCTTCAGTACTCTTGTTGAGACGGACCAAATAGGATTTGCAATAGTTCATGTCTTCACCGTGCGATACTGCAAATGCCTTTACTATGGCAATGAAGCCCCTTCGATATTAAGAATCCACTTCATAGGTCAGCAATTTACTTGTCAAACTTTCAAAATAAAAATAACTTAAAATTCTTGATCCTAGAAAACGCAATCCTTCTGTGAACGTACATGGTTGGCTATTTTTTACTTATATTTTATGAGCTTTTGTTTCTCCCATCATTATGGTGGTAGGCGTGGTGTTATAGCGTGTCTCGTCCGATGACCTCATTATGTTGACGCGTGAATCGCACCACACCCACCGACCTTGATCCGACCATCTGGCTGAAATCAAACGTCGAAAAGCTTGACTACCGATCCGAGCGATCCAGGCTTTATCAAGGTCATGGTTCTGAGCTCACAAGGACAACAAGTATCTTCAAGTATCATGGGTTGGCAACTGCGTCTGAAGGCAGCCTGTTTTTTGAAATGAATTCTAGCTTGAATGCAGGGTGGTAGAAGCGGCGCTCGACGACTGGCGTACTCTAGAATAGGAACATGCCTGAGGGTCTAAAATCCAAGACCTATAGAACCGTCATCCGACCGGTCGCAATATACGGCGCTGAGTGCTTGCCTGCGACCAAAGAAGTTGAAGCTTTTTTGGTGTGATGGAGACCAATATGCTGAGCTGGACAGCTGGAGTGACAGGACTAGACCGGATAAGTAGTGACGTCATCAGGTAGCGATTCAGTGTAGCGCTCGTTGTCGATAAGATGGGCGGAGCCTGTCTCCGATGGTATGGTTGTGTTCTTTGTGCGTACGATGACAATGTCCGTAAGATGGGTCACAACCTTGACGTGTCCGGAAAGCGGCCTAGAACACGCCTAAGACAGCGATGGCTCGGTACGTTGCACCAAAGCACGAAGACGGTTAAATTCCACCTTGACCAAGTCAAGCGCTTAATCGAGAAAGATGGCGTCAACATAGTATTAGAAAGATGAACCCCGTCGGGAGGTTCACTTTTCCGGCACAGAAGCCGAAGAAAGAAGAAAGAGACAACTTGATTATAAGGAATCTCATACATCTTTTAATAAATCATATAATTCTGAAACAGAATGCTGGTTCTTAGATCACTGACGACCACTTAATATCTTGGTAGGAGATAATCCAGGAAAGGAAGAACATTTGTAGCAAGGAGCAGCAAAGAATCCCCACAAACAAACGTCTCGCCCCTGTTGCAATCTTTTGTTAGGTTCATTAGTCCCACCAATACCGTCAGTTTCCAGAAAAACGACGGTATCGGAACCGTGATTAGGAGAGGAGGCAGCGGTTGAGGCCAGTAGTCAAATAGCCTACCGACCCCCTCCTCGCTTGATAATGATTTCTTCTCTGCAACATGGAGAAACCCATGTCGTGAGGTTGTTGTAGAGCTCATAAGTCGTCCTCACATTGAGAAGCAACATCGCTGTTATACAGAACTTTAATTACCTTTCCTGCTTCGACGACATCAGATGGTTTCTTCAAATTGATCAACCTAAGAAATAACACCATCTTGAGCTCTCGTGATATTTCAGTGAGCTTTGTGACGGCGTGAACGCGATCGATTATAATGAATCATCTTGAAGAACTACTGCATCCAGTATCTATCAATTCTGTTTGGGTGTTTAGTTTATGGATTATAGGTAACAGACAGATTGGGAAATAGTTGCCAATATTGTCTGGATCTCCCTTCTTATACAGCAGGTACTCTGCAGAACCGTAATCTATAGTGGACTGGAACTCTAACAACAAAACGATCTCGGCGACATATCCTTCCCAGAAAAGCTCAAGTCTACCTTCGTAAAGAACATTCATGCAATGTTCACTTACCTGTTATCGAGCGCTACGTCTCACTTCCCTGCAACACCTACAGTAGCGCTCAAAAGTCTTGGGCCAAATGCTTCTTCTGTTGTACTTTTCAGTCGTAACTCCTTTCCTACTTGATGTAATCATGCGAAATTTCGATATGTGTAGCATGGGTGCACTATGAATATTTACCACTATTGATCTGCAATCTAGTCATATTCAAGATGTCCCAAAAAGCTTGAACTCAAAATCAATTGGAAATACTAATGGTGGTCCTTCTGGAACTTATTTCCTTTCTGCGATGTCCAGAGTATAATAGCGCTAATGCCAAACCATTAGGGAAGAAAAACGCACATAACGTGAGAATAACTGCAGACACAAAAACATTGCTTTTAGCGAAATCTTCTANCGCAAAAAACGCCTTGCTCTAGTTATGTGGGTATTGCTGCTTAGCAGTCAAATCAGCAGTCAACGTTGGATAGTGGAAATATGCTTTAGTTAAACATATCAGAATTTCACGCGATTTGCTCCACTAAGAAGATTCTCCTTTCTAAGAAGGTATGTACGAAAAAGGGTAAGAGCGTTTGGCCGAACACTTTTGAGTGCTACTGTATATAAGATATATCTTGACTTAGAGCAGGTCAACACAAATGTCTAGCGATCAATATATTTAGCAGATCAATCAGATTATTCAGCATGTTCATATATTCTGAAACAAAAATTCTCACACAAGAAAATCTCAGATCCGAATGTCGAGGCAGCATAGCGGAGATACAAAAATTGGAAAATACAATTGAAAATGGCCACAAGACATAGGATGTGTATTTTCGGGTTGAAGACATCCTCGTTTACAATTCATAAAACGATTACCCGAAATGGCTTTTCAGAAGGACCAACACCCAATGTCAACAGTGAGTTTAACAGCGTTAGCGCTCCTAGTGCAGAAAAAAAGGCACACAAAATAAAAAAATCGAAAGAAGTTATTGCCTGCACTGCACATTCCGTAACAAAAGCAACACGCATGTAATTTGGAAGTGGGCGGCTCTAATCGAATTCCCATAACGACTAACAATGAACAATCCTCGTGACACGCAACACTGTACACATAGGCTGCTTTCATAGTCCACGATTTGGCCCGCGACCGGTCGAGCGACTGATCGTGTGATCGCTCTCAGGTCGTGGACTATGAAAGCAGCCATAGAGTCAACAACTCAATAAAAAACTAAATCGGTAAACCGGTAAACTCCTCAGCTTCGCTCCGGTTCGAGCCGGACCCATTGTTGTGGGAGTTCACACGAGGGCAGGGTAGCTAATCGAATATCGATCTGAATTTCAGCGATAAGGGACGACTACTGATGATAAAGAAATAGTTCTGAACACGGCAGCTTTAAAAATGAATATTGGGATTCCCAACTAACCTGGCCAAGTACCGGCTTTTTGGCGAACGCCCCGTAATTGGTGTCATCTTTAACTAATATTTGCAGTTTATAGTTGTGTATGTCCTGGGCATCCAAGTCCAATTCAAAGCTTGAAAGAACGATTGTTAGTAGCCAGTAATCGATTGCGGGAATGTTCACTGTGCACTGTACTCACTGATTATCGAAGAGAGGATTTAATGAGTTCTTGACGACACCAGTTTTACGCTTGGAAAATACTTTGTTGTTCTCCACAGATATAAGTTTCACCTGAAAATCTTCCTTTTTCGATCGCCAACACTTTGTTAACGTCCACTGTGGCATGTACTGTTATGGGGGATTCGGAAGTGTAAATTTAGTAATATACGGAGAGGAAAAAAGTAAAAAGGCTAAAAGGATACCGTCGCATATGGGTCGCACAAGTCATCTTTTCCCCATGGCAGGAGGTTCCGAGCCGCTAGCACCTGCACCACCAATTTCTGCAAGGCTTCAGAGTGGCGGATCGACATTTGTACTTCTCCTCGGGGTTGATTACCTCTGAAATGATAGATAACCACCTTCACGTTCAAAGAAAGTCCAAATCTAGCGGTACACTTCTAAGGATAACGCAACCGAAAAGAACTCTTTGCTTTCGTCAAAGGTGGAACTTCCCATATTATATCAGTCATAAATGGTCCTATGAAACCTATTTCAGCTTCAGAATCGATATGATCTAGTTTGAAGTCCCGGATCCGCAAATGGGGTGATCCGTTGTGAAACATTAGCTAAGCTAACGTTAGCATACCGAAATCAGATTCAATCTCATTTTCGTCGAAAAAAAAAACAATAGTTTCATTATTTAAATACTCTTGTGCCGTGCGAGGTTGTTAGGTGG